CGTCGGTAGTCGTAGATTACTTATGTATTGTGATAGTGACACTTGCGAAACCGACCGTAAAGTCGCTGAATAAGACTTCGGGAATCAACGGAAGCACACGAATAGGCTTGGCGATCCGCACGAAGGCGATGACGACGTTCCCATGGGCGTCCGATTCATTACCCATCCTGAATAAATGATCGTCCACGGCGCGGTTAGCTATCCACGGGAATGTTGGTCAGAAGATACTTCGGAAAAGTGATTATTCGTCGATGCCGTGTCGTCCTCGGCGAAATCGACCCCCAAGGACATCCATCGTGCTTCGCCGAACCGTAGCATCGTGTATCTCCTTCGGTTGCATCATTGATGAGCAGGTTCAACGAGTTCTCCTCGCCTTTTCGGCATCCTAACTCTCGTTCTTTCGCAACAGTGCAACGTCGCCGTGAATATCATAAGACGAATTGAATATAAATTTCCATATTTTGGCAACTTTGAGACAATATTTGAAATATAAAGAAGATCGAGAGATTAGCGGATTAGAGACATAGCGGGGAGAATAGGGATACCAAAATCCAGATTTAACGCTGGTGCTAAGAGAAATCACATCAACTGTCATCAGTAGTCTTAAATATCGCTGATCAGCTATTTGCAAGCTACGATCGAGTCTGAGAAGAAAGAAGGGGAGAGGACACCTGTTTCTTCGAATCATCCACTTTTCAATCTCAATATCGTCCATTCAAACGTGTTGTTGCTTCCACACGTAACACTCAGTTGCTAACGAACGGAAATATAATCATCCTTCGACCTCTCACCGTAGTACCGTGCATAATTCTATGATCGACTTGCCGATGTCGCGGACGTATCGCCGTCTACCTGGACCACGTAGCAGCCGTAACTCAGTTTCCGAACGGATCGTCTCTTAGGAATACTTTATGCGTACTACACGTCATTCCAGCCGCCTAGCTTGGGAAGATGGAGGTCGCCATAGGGTGGTAGGGGTTGCAAAAGACACGGATCCTTAAGTATTCTACGCGTCGTGCGGGACTAGTGCATCGGTCTTAAGATGGCGGCGAGGGAGGAGGGCTCGCGAGGTAGGGCTGCGCCGATACCCTTTCGCCGGGAGAGGAGACGTTGGTGGTAGGAGGTCCTCGGGTAATCATATAAGGATAGCTGGAGTCGCGCGAGGTCGGGTTTCAACTTTTGATCCTCCGATATCTCCGGCAGCCTGGCGGGCCCCTTCCAACCGAAGCGTGTCTGTATTCAAACGGCTCTAACTCGATATAAGCGGCGCTCCCAGAGGCATCCTTTCGCCAGGAGAACGAGCTGGAGGACACCAGACCCTCCCTACCGTGTCGCTCACGCCCACCCTCGGTCTTCGGAAATAAGAGTATCCAGCGTAGCCGATGCCTCCAATCGAATTTACATCCCGACTGCTTCGCTCCCATCTCGAAGACGCGGGGGTGGATCCTCGACTTCGCCAAAGTGCCATCTGCTACTGATCCCGTGGATGGAGGCGCACCGGCGACCACCGAAATGGCACCGTGGTCCACTATGGTATTCTGAAGGATATGCGATGAGATATCGGCTGGAGACGGATGACTTCCGGAAGATAGCTCCTTGGAAAGTAACTCGTGGGACATGCTGTGGCAAAAATATAAAAATTCGCCATTTCCAAAGGAAGAAAACTATTCAAAAAGTGATGAAACTGTACAATAAACTACATAATACTATAAAAAAATTATATGAAATAATTTAGGAAATAATAATTAATTAAGAGTGTTTAAGTGAAGCTTTAACTTCATATATGAGGCAAAAGATCGAGGGATAGTACTTACTTTTTTAAATTCAAAGCAGAATATAATACAATAATATAAATTTGTAGTTATTATAAATAAGTGAAGGAGGAGATTAAATTCGATAGCGCCAAATTCTCAGATTAGGTCGTGCGAAAGTCTTTTTTTAAATAAACTTTTGGAAATAGTGATGAAATAATGCTATGTATGACAATATAACACAATTCTTTCAAAGAAACGTGGATTAAAGTATTAAGTTTTAGACTTGCAGAAATAAATTGCTGAATTGATTTTTATTTATAAATCAATTTATACACCTTTTACACAAATACAAATTTTATTTTGTTTTAGAAATAGTCTTATGTATGATTACAAAGATACCTATTTTATCATATGACAGTAAAAGAGAGAACAATGATGAACAGATGAATAATGTGTTTCCTGTATTACCAACTGTACATAACAAGTCTAACCAGAGAGAAGCCTGAGAGCGGCACCAGCCTGATTTTAGTGGCCAGAGCTAGGCGCATTTTCGAGATGCCATCTAACAAAGCGCGTCTTTACTACGTTCCTTAGGCGCATTTTCGCGATGGAATGATCAATTTGATACTTCGAAGATTTCATCAAGACATCTGGAAGATATTATGTAGATATTGACAATCTAGTAATTATCCAACTTATATCGTATTAAAGTCGAATCAACACATCCATATATCGACTCGATTTGAATACGATATCTATTAGAGACAAACTAAATTAATAAGAGGTCGATACTTATAAGATATCTTCTGATATATCAAACTGATATGTAGATGTCGACTCGATATCGACCAAATATTATACGTATCTGTCATTCATTCAATACTAATATTCCATTATATGTTTCATTAGTGGTATTATGTTTATTACTGAACACTCTCTGTATAATAAAAATATGAAGAAATAGGTACACACAATATGTTTATATTTTTTTTGGTACATCAAAAATATTTTACATAGTAATATATTAATTTGTTATAGTGCTAACTAGTTATAAATAGTTTTATGTTTTTAATGACATTATCTAATAACCTACCATGACATAGCCTACTTTCGGATTAGGCGCAAAATAAGTACCACTGTGCATGCGCGAGAATCCGTATGTGCTACTATGACAAATCTAACGTTATGGGGGTGATTTTGGGATGTTGAAAAAATATTTTCAAGGTACTGG